AAACAAACCGTCTCCCAAGACCCCTAGTCTTTTAGGCATTGCGGCTCTTGGGGGTCAGATACCGCTCATCCCACATCGAGCTGAGCGCCTTCTGCTCTCCCTCCCATAAAAAAGTCAAATTTGAGATCCTAGAAGAGATGGAGTTGGGTAGCTGGTTAGGAAGGGCCAGAAAGGATTTTTTCCTGGAGCCAAAAGGGCCGGTGACCTATTGTACCTAATAAAATGAGCACTGCCTGTCTTGGTAATGGGCCAAACCAGATCTAGAGGCGGAGGGGAGCTCAGTCCTGGAGGCAGGCGTTTGGAAAGGTCTCTCACCCCGGCCCATCGACCTCGCCACCCGCCACGTGAGGATGCTGGGCGTCCTCAGGGCCTGGGTCCCCCAGCATGATGGACGGAAGTGTGCACGCCTGTGCACTTTGCCCTGAAGGCGAGTACTGAGCTGTCGCTACTTTCTCAAAGTAATCCACAGACCCCAAGTTCACAATTGCCGGCCGCATAGGCGCTAGGGCTGCGGGTTGACCCTCGATCTTAAGGAGGCGTCCTCTGAGGACCCCCAAAGATTGTTTATGAGTCCATCCCCTAGGCCGGCCGGGACCCCACGCCCTCCTACAGCTCTTTGCGGCCGGAGGTCGGCGGCTTTGAAGAGAGATGAGAAGACTCCCAGCATCGCGGCGCGGGGGCCCGGGGCAGGTGGGCAGGGCGGGGCCTCCGGCCTCGCTAGGGTCCGCGTGCAGGCTCCGGGGGGCGGGGAGGAGGCGGGGAGGAGGCGGGGAGGGGCGTGGTTCCGGGCTCGGCCCCACCCCGGCGCTGACGTCGCGCGGCTGGAGGCGCCGGCCGGTCAGCCAGTCCGCCCGAGCGCGAGCGCCGGCGAGATTGAGGCTGACTGGCGCGCGGTGGTCGCAGGAGCGGTCGCCGCCCCGCGTCGCGGACCCTGTCCTGTAGCGGTCTCGGCCGGCTTCGGTGTCCGGGTTGTGGCACGGCTCGGAGACTCCCCGTAACCCCTTGGCCAGCAGCGTGGGGCTTGGGGCTGAGCCCACCGCCCGTTCCGCAGCATGCGCACCTCCTACACCGTGACCCTGCCCGAAGAGCCCCCTGCCGCCCCCTTTCCCGCCCTCGCCAAGGAGCTGCGGCCACGCTCCCCTCTGTCCCCGTCCCTGCTGCTTTCCACCTTCGTGGGGCTTCTGCTCAACAAAGCCAAGGTACGCGGGCCCTTTTCCGGAACCCCCACGAGAAAGGTCCCGCCTGCTCCCGGGATTACCTCCAGCCCACTACGAGTCTCTAGGCGCGAAAGGGACAGCCTTTTCCAGCTTTTCCCCCTCCTTTCCAAGGGTCTCCTAGCAAGGGATGCCCCCTACCCTGGCGATCGCAGGTTTACTCCAGACCTCTCTTGTTGAAGTCCAAGCCCCTGAGGTTCCCTGACCCCTTCCTGCGTGACCCGGGCACCAGGTGGCTCTTGGCCTCTTAATTCCAGCCACCTATCAAGACAGGTGCAGGCAAGCGTAACCTTGACTAAGGCTGGTGTGTGACTAGAGGGAACCGACAGCAGGCTGGACTCAGGGGTGACCCCTCCAAGGCCAAACCCCAACAAGGAAGGTGATTAAAAGGGGGCCTCCCCCTCCCCCTCCCTATTCCCAAATGGACTCCCCCTCAGGGGTCAATGCTAGGGTGCTTTGACCCCGTGAAGGGCAGAGGTTGCAGACAGGTGAAAAAGTGTTCCATTCCCTTGCTGGCCCTCTTCAGTTGTGTGAAGTGGGCAGTGGATCCCTTTGATTGAAGCAGCTTCTGGAGTAATGCTGGGGCTAAGGTTGGGCACTGTCCCTTTGGGAAAGGGAGAAGGGGCCCGAGCTTGACAGGTCTTATGTAACAGGCACCAGCTCCCGTGTTGGCAATGCGTGCCGTGCCCCATGCCAGGGCTACACCGGGCACCTTCGTTGCAGGCAGGACACATAGCTGACCCTCACCATGCAGGTGAAGCAAACAGAAAAGCGCTCGGCTGGGGTCTCCAGTGTGAAGTCACAATTTCAGTCCACCTTTCTTACAGGCCCATCCCTAGATGCCAACCCGCATCTAGGCTCTTTGAGCCCCCGCTCCTGCCCTGGCAGAGGAGTGCTGTTTACTGACAATGGAGGTGGCATCTGCTCTCTAGAATAGTGCTTGCTACTGAGTCAAAGCTAGGATTGCTGATGCCTAAGTGTAAGGAAGCAATGGGTCTGAACTTGCTCAACTCTGCACCTGAGTCCCAGCCCAACAGCTGGAATCATTTCCTTCTGCTGTCATTGTGAGAGACTGACTCTGCAGGGTCTCTGTCCCACCTTCTCTAGTTCCTAGCCTCCCTCTCTGCCAGCCCTGAGATAGGATTGTTTGCCCTGGAGAAAGGTCACTCACTCCTGGGACATTTTGTTCCTCTCTGGGATGGAAAGTGCTGACTTTCCCTGGAGCTGCTCTGCTCCCCCCATCCACTCCCACCCCCAACTCCCATAATCCCCCCACCTTTTACACAGAACACTCAGAAATTGGCGAGTCAGGCACAATGGCAAATGCCCGTTATCCTAGCACTTGGGAGGCAGAGGCAGGGATAGCTGCAAGTTCAAGGCCAGTCTGCTCAACATAGTTGAGACCCTGTCTCTATGAAAAGAAAAAAGGAAAAAAACATTGGCAAGGGATTTTTGACCTCAGGAGATTTTAGACAAAAGCATGACCTTCCCACACTAGAAAAATTAACAGAGGTCCTAATGGTGGGTAGCTTAGGAGAGCCTCTCCCTTCTCCCAGCCCCAAGCCAAAAGAAGAGTTAGGGCCCCCAGAATACCAACCATGGAGGGTGAGATGCTCTTACCACCTTCAAGCTGCCCAGTCAGTGAAATCAGGAGTGCCTCTGTAGACAGGTGACTCCAGTCTCCCATTTCCCCACCCCTAGTAGTGCTTGGGAGATAAGCACCTCAGCTGAGAGCCTGCCTTGGTAGATGTGGACATGGTCACCAGTGGTAGGATGCTTTGCGTCTCTACAGCCTGTTTAGACAGATGTCGTCTGAGGCACAGGGGGTAAGAACTAATAAAGCGCTGCCAAAAATAGGTGTAAGTGGGCATTCTGTGTGGGCACACTTCAGCAACTGGCTCCAAGTGGGCAACACGGAGATCGCTGAAGTGCTTTTTTGGTTGGGCTCTGGGTGGGAAGGGGGAGACTTTTGCCAATTACCCAAAATGCTGATAAGACCTTTGTACCCCAAGGCTTATCTGTGTGGTGTCCCTCTTGCTAGAGCATCAGGGTTGTAAGGCAGAATTCACATCTTGCCACAACCAGGGATTGAACCCAGTTCCTCCTGCATGCCAGTCAAGTGCTCTGTCACTAAGCTACATTCCCCCAGTGGTGGGATTCACATTTTTTTTTCAGCTGCATAGGTCAGGCTAGTGGAGGAGACTCACACCTGACCTGCTATACCAGTAGCCTTTCGCTCCAGCTGAAGGTTTAAACCATGTCTCTCCTGGGTATGTTTTCTTCCCGATCTACTAGCATTGGACCTGACAACTAGCCAGAGGAGGAATCCTCTTATTTGTGGGATGGACCAGGCAATTCTTGAGAAAAGTCCTCCCCCAGCCTGTGCCTCTCCCCTTACCCCCCCCCCTTCAAGCTGACAATTATTTGTGGGATGGACCAGGCAATTCTTGAGAAAAGTCCCCCCCAAGCCTGTGCCTCTCCCCTTTCCCCCCCCCCTTCAAGCTGACAATCTCATGGGCTTTGAGCCGCTGACAGCTTATGAGGCTGTCGGCACACGGCATGAGTAATTTTAGCTGAGTTATTTCAGGCTCCTGTTCTGATCAGGGCTGAGCTGGCCCCACGCATGCCCCAGCCAGTCTTGCACCAGAGTTGCCTTCTCCCAGGCCCCCTTCCTGGGAGACTCATCTACAAACTGTTTTGTTAACCCTTTAGGCCTGAAGGTTTTCTGGCTCCTTGGAGGTGAGCCCAGAATTAACCAAGGGACCTTGACAAACAGTGCTCAAGCCCAAGATCCTACACCTGTTCTCTCTCCAACCCCCTCACCAGCCTCCACAGTAGCTGAGACCGCAAGAGTGACACCTTCAACCAGGTGCTTCCTCTGCTTGGCACCACATACCATCATCAGGGTTTCCAGTCAGGATGTTGAAACCTGACACAGGCAGGGAGGATCCTCCTACCTTTAGGCTCAGCCCTTAGGAGCTGAGTTCAGCTGGAAGGAATTCCACCTCTCTCTGGCAATTCAGAATGGCAGGTAGCTTGAGTTTTTCCCAGCTGAAGATGGAAACTTAAGAGTGGTTTGTCATTTAACCTTTCACAACTTCCTTAAAGTACCTATTAGGACAGTTTCTTTATATATTGAACATCTAGTACAAATATAGGTCATTTGAGATAGTACCTGGATTTGGGACATGAAACTCCTTTTTTGTTATTTTAAGACAGGGTCTCCTGTAACTGCGGCTATGCTCCCACTCACTCTCTAGCTGAGGCTCACCTTGAATCCCTGATACTCCTATCTCTGTTTCCCCAAGTGCTAGGATTACAGACATTCACCACCACACCTGGCTGGGACTTGAAATTTCTTGCAGCAAGGAATTGACTATGTACCCAGATGTATGAACCTCCTAGCCTTTGGTTCTAATCTCTAGTCTAACTGAAGAACAGTTTCATTGTATGCATTTCTGGCTGGGTGTGGTAGCACATGCTTTTAATTCCAGCACTCGGGAGACAGAGGCAGGTGGATCTCTGTAAGTACAAGGCCAGCCTAGTCAACATAGTGAGTTATAGATCAGCTGGGGCTACAGGGAAATGCTGTCTCAAAAAGACCAAAAATTAAAATTTAAAAAAAAAAAGATTGGCATTTCTTGGTCCTCTTTTCTCCAGGGCATGAAAACCAAGGTTAAAGAGAGAATAATCCAGTCATAAGTGAGAGAAGGTTGCATGAGAGAGCCTAGCTCAGGCCCAGACTCTTTGCTTCATCCTCATATATCATGTGTTCTTTGCTTACAGAATTCAAAAAGTGCCCAGGGTCTGGCAGGTCTTCGAAACCTTGGGAACACGGTGAGTTCCTCCCAGCCCAGTTCTTTCCTGAGGCCATCCCAGACTCTCCTGATTAGAGATACAACCCAAGTCCCCTCCTAGCTTCAGCTGACTTCCTTCTCTGAAAGGCTATACACTTGCCCTTCCTGACTAATGGTTCATGGAATTGCTGAGCCCTACCTCACCCGCCTCCAGCAGGAAGCACTGCTAAAATTTGCCCTTGAAACTGTCAGCTTACCTACCACTCTTCCTGGATCTCATCACTTCCCACACACTTCTGTCCAGGGAACGTTCACCCATTTCTACACTTCAATAGGAAATAACCATTTACAACACCTGTACCTATAATGGGGACTTGCCTCCGTCCACCTGCCTTCAGTTGGGAAAAAGGAACCTGAGGCTGTTCAAAAGGGTTAATTTATGAGTAGATGAACCAGAGAGCCTATGGTACCAACTTATAGAGGTGCCAGTAAGGATCTTAACTCCCACACTGTGTTAGTCAGCTTTCTGCCCTTATGATACATACCTCAGATAAATAGGTCTATGAAAATGATAGGTTTGTTGGGCTCAGCTTTGGAGGTTTTAGTTCATGATAATTGATCCTGTTGCTCCTGCTTGGTGACAAGGCAGCACATACTTGACCAAGCAAAACTGTTCATCTTATGGCCAGGTTGCAAAAGAGAGAAAGAGGAAGAGACTGGGGTCCCACAGGTTCCTTCAAGGGCAAGCCCCCAATACCTGAAGACCTACCATTGGGCCCCATCTCTTAAAGTTGTTGCCACATCCCAGTAGTGCCAATTAGCTAGGAGCACATGGCCTATGGAAGACAGAAAACTATGGCATACCTACTAATTTCCCAGATCATCTCTTTTAGTGCTTCATGAACTCAATTCTTCAGTGCCTGAGCAACACCCGGGAGCTGAGAGATTACTGCCTCCAGAGGCTGTACATGCGGGACCTGGGCCACACCAGCAGTGCACACACAGCCCTCATGGAAGGTGAGGAGCCTGTGTGGATATGGTCTGCTTCCCTGCTCAGTGCTGTTCTAATCCACTGGGCTAGGCTCAAAGTTCTGTTTTAGATGTAGCCCTACTCAATTAGTCTTTCTTTGCTTACCCCTTCTTTGGGATTCAAGTTTCAGAAGTTATTTTTTTGAGACAAGGTCTTGCTGTGCAACCCTGGGTCACTTCATAATCATGATCCTCCTGTCTCAGCCCCTCAAGCACTGTGATTACAGCTATGCACCATTATGCTTGACTCCAGTTTGAGTTCCTTTATTTAGGAGGAGGTGTATTTTCTTATTGTTGCTTTTGGTTTGATATGGTTTTGGTTTTTCTGAGACAGGGTCTCCCTGTAGCCCTAGCTAGCCTAGAACTCACTGTATAGACCAGGGTAGTCTCAGTCTCAACACAGATCTGCCTGCCTCTGCCTCCCAAGTACTGAGATAAAAGACATGGACAACCATGCTGACTTTTTGTTTATTCATTTGTTTGGTTGGTTTCATTTTTGTTTTTTGTTTTGTAGGTTTCTTTTTTTTTTTTTTGAGACAGGGTCACACATACCCCAAGCTGGCCTTGAATTTGCTATGTAGCCCAGGTTGCCCTTGAGCTCCTGATACTACTACCTTAACCTGAGATTACAGGCCTATGTTACCACACTCAGCTAAGGTACTTACAGAAAATGTCTCACCTGGGGTTGCAGAGATGGCTTAGTGGTTAAGAGCACTTGCTTCTCTTGTAGAGGACTAGTTTGGTTCTCAGCACCCACATCAGGAAGCTCACAATTTCCTGTAATTCCAGCTCCAGGGATCCAATGTCCCTTTCTTGTCTGCAGGCACACATATGCGTGTGCACATACCCTCACACAGGCACACACATACGCCACACACAATTTAAAAATAAAATGCTGTTTAAAAAAAAAAAAGGGTTAGTCAGGCATGGTAGCACACACCTTTAATCTCAGCACTCAGGAGGCAGAGGCAGGTGGATCTCTGTAAGATCAAGGCCAGCCTGTTCTGGTCTGCCTAGGAAGTTCCAGGCCAGTTGGGGCTACAGGGAGACCCTAAAAAAAAAAAAAAAAAAGAAAGAAAGAAAGAAAGAAAATATCTTACCTGTCCTCCACACCCACACCCTCTCTCTGATCACTCCTTCCAACAGAGTTTGCAAAACTAATCCAGACCATATGGACTTCATCCCCCAATGATGTGGTGAGCCCATCTGAGTTCAAGACACAGATTCAGAGATATGCACCTCGATTTGTTGGCTATAAGTAAGGGCCTTGCAGGCATGTCCTCCCCAAGGTGGGTGGCAGCATGAGCAGGGTCTTGTTTGGAGCTGTGTTGTCCACTCACTTTCTTTGGGTTCAGTCAACAGGATGCTCAGGAGTTCCTTCGCTTCCTTCTGGATGGACTTCACAATGAGGTGAACCGAGTAACAGTAAGGCCTAAGCCCAACCCCGAGAACCTCGATCATCTCCCGTAAGTAAGAGGAGAATGCTACTATGAATGAAATTTCTGTGAGCTTGAGTTCTATACTTCTTTGGGAGTAATGATTTGTGGAAACTCAGATTTGCTTTGTCATTGTTGTTTTTAAGCATGTTTTTGGGAGGGGTTGGGGTTTGTTGTTTTGTGTGTGTGGTGCCAGGGATCTCACCTAGGGCTTTGTGTGTACTAGGGAGGCACTTGTCCACTAAGCTGCTTCCTCTAGATTTGCTGCATCCTTTGAAGATTAAAGGTTGAAGCCAAGCATGGTGATACATACCTGTAATCCCAGCATTCAGAAGGCTGAAGCAGAAGGGATCATGAGTTCAAGGCCAGCCTGAGCCACACAGCAAGATCCTATCTCAAGAAAACCTTCCATTAGGATACAGCTCAGTGGCAGAATGCATGATAAACATGAGAGAAAAACTAAATTCCACCCCAGCACCACAAAATAAAATGTTTAAGGATCTAAGTTAATAGACCTTTAAGCTTAACATGGTTTGCCTTTCTGTCTATGGTTCCTAGTGATGATGAAAAGGGGCGACAGATGTGGAGGAAGTATCTAGAGCGGGAAGACAGTCGGATTGGGGGTAAGTGTGTGTGTGGATGCTTTGGCCATTACTTGCTTTTGAGCAGAGCTTGAGAAGCCCCAAGAACCATTTTCCCAGGAAACCCTGCTTCAGCCTATGGCCCTCAACCTGAGGCAAGGAGCAGGGAAGAAGGAAGGTTAAGTGCCGCCCCACATTCAGCATCTCCTGGCCTTATCTCCCCCAGATCTCTTTGTTGGCCAGCTAAAGAGCTCCCTGACATGCACCGACTGTGGCTACTGCTCTACAGTCTTCGATCCCTTCTGGGACCTCTCACTGCCCATTGCGAAGGTATACCCCCCACTGCCCATCTTTGGAGCTCCCTCTCCTGGCTTTTCAGGTTGTGGATCCCTGATCTTTTTCTTTTCTCTCCAGAGAGGTTATCCTGAGGTAACATTAATGGACTGCATGAGGCTCTTCACCAAAGAGGATGTGCTGGATGGGGATGAGAAGCCAGTAAGTCATTCCTTACTAATAGTGAAGAAGGGGAAGGTCTACCCGAGGAGTTACTGGCTTCAGCCCACAAGTTCTCTCTAGCTCCATTTATCTTAACTTTCAGACATGCTGTCGCTGCCGAGCCAGAAAACGATGTATAAAGAAGTTCTCCGTCCAGAGGTTCCCAAAGATCTTGGTGCTGCGTATCCTTAAGGCCCACCAGGGTAGAGACCTGACTTTTCAGGGTGACTGAGGATAAGAAGCCAAAAGGGGAGGGGAGCAGAGTAGGAAAAAAAATGAATCATGTAGACTTCTTTGGACTGTTTGCTTTTCTGCTTCCTGAGCAAAGAGTTGTCCCCTAGGACTCTGTCTCCTCAAGCCTGTCTCTCTCTCCTTTCTGTGCCTTCTGTCCTTGACTCACAGCAATCCCAGACCTGAAGCGGTTCTCAGAATCCAGGATACGAACCAGCAAGCTCACAACATTTGTGAATTTCCCACTAAGAGACCTGGACTTGAGAGAATTTGCCTCAGAAAACACCAGTGAGTATCTTTCAGCAGGAAGGGAAGAATCAATGGGAGGCAAAAAGGTGACAGGAAGCTAGAGTGGATTAGGAAAAGAGTGGGAAAGACGGGGCCAGTGAGGTGGCTGAGCAGGTAAAGGTGCTTGCTACCAAGTCTGGAACCTGAGTTCAATTCCCAGAACCCATATGGTAGAAGGAGAGAACTGATTCCTCTGCCCTCCCTCCACACTGGTGTCCTGGCATGAAAATAAATAAATAAATAAATAAATAAATAAATAAATAAATAATAGTAAAATGTAATTTAAATATTTTGTAAAAGTAGAAGCTGGAGTGGGACCGGAAAGATGGCTCAGCAGTTAAGAGCACTGGCTGCTCTTACAGAGGACCTGGGTTCAGTTTCCAGCACCCACATGACAGCTAACAGCCATCTGTAACTCCAGTTCCAGGAAATCCAACACCCTCTTCTGGCCTCCTCGGGCATTGCATGTACATAGTGCCCTTTACATACATGTAGGCAAAAACTCTCATACATATAAAACAAAAATTTTTAATTAAAAGTAGAAGCTCTAGTTTCTTTACAGAAAAATTTGGTAAATAAGAGGCAGGAGGGAGAGAATGGGGCAGGAGAGCTTCCGGGGCTTGACATCTGTGCTTCCTCCTCAGACCATGCTGTTTACAACCTGTATGCTGTGTCCAATCACTCTGGAACCACCATGGGTGGCCATTACACAGCCTACTGCCGAAGTCCAGTGACAGGCGAATGGCACACTTTCAATGACTCCAGGTGAGGGAAAAGGACTCAGACAGGTCAGCAAATCACCCATACTTCACTGACTTGCACAGCCTCCATATTGAATGGAAAACAAGTCAGAGTCAAAACGTACACCGTATACAGGGGTCTGTGGCCCATTTGGAGGCTGTTGAAAACTAGTATAGTGTCACACACCTGTTATCCAAGCACCTTCGAGATAGAAGCAGGAAGATCAGGAATTCAAGGTCATCCTCAGCTACACAGCAAGTATGAGGCTAGCCTGGGCTACATGAGACCCTGTCTCAAGAAAAAAAAAAAAACTGAAAGAGGTTAGCTTGGCTTAAGAGAGGTTAGAGACATTCCCTAAACCACTCAACTGTGTCCCCATGGCCTTCCTTGCCAGGACTCTGACTTTCCTCTGCTCTTCCACAGTGTCACACCCATGTCCTCCAGCCAAGTGCGCACCAGCGACGCCTATTTGCTCTTCTATGAACTGGCCAGTCCACCCTCCCGTATGTAGCATTGAAGAGCTACATCCCTTTCCCATTCCCTGTGGTGGCCCCACATCCTAAGTTTTTTAAAAAGTAAAAAAAAAACCAACAAAATCCTGACAAGTAAGAGAAAAATAAACTAAAACAAAGCTGCCGAGCAGAAGTTGATACAGCCTGGTCAGGGTCTGGAGCAAGGAACCCAGTGCCCCTGAGCCATGGCCTGTCAGGGAAGGCAAACTGGACATGGAGACCGAGCAATGTTCCCTCGGCTTCTCTTGTTTGCATTTTTAAGCTTGTGGTTTTTTTCCTGTGTGTAATAAACAACAGTGGTCTGTGGGAAGAAGATCCTCCATCCACCTGCTGCCCTCTCCAGCCCCCCCCACCTTCCAGGAGAACAGCACCCTCTGGAGTCTGTTGGGTCATCACTGCTGGATGGTGTACTGAGGAGCAGGCACCCAGAACCCACCCGGATCTGCTCACCTGGCCAGAGCAGGAAATACCCATGAGCCAAGAGCACACTAAACGCTGCTAAGTCCAGGGGTACAGATGAGGGGGTATCTTGAAAAAAGCTGTTTTGGGTTTTGAAAAGCCCAACTTTTTTAGTCACTGTAACAAAAGCCGCTCTCTTTCACACCTTCACAGATGGCACTTTGGGCTGGCCCTTTTTGTTGTTGTTGTTGTTTTTTTTTTAATTCTTTCAATACAGCTTTCCTAACGCTAGCCCCCTGTGGTGCTAGGTGAGTATTGGCCAGGCCCAAACATAGTTGCAGTAGACCTGGGATCTAAGTAAGTTTGTTTTGAAGTTTCTTCCCTCCGTTTTTTTTTTTAAAAAAAAAAAAAATGTTTTTGGATGGAATCTAATTGCCTCCAAGAATTGTGCCTTATAGCATTTGGGGACCAGGAGATAACTCCCCTCCCTGAAATATCCCTCACCTGTTTCCCTTTATCCCAGTGCCCTGTTCAAAACCACTGGGGTCGGGGAGGGGATGGGGTCCTGCCCTTAGCCCCTGGCCCCTGGCAGGTTGTGCATTGCAGTGAGGTAAGAGGGAAGTAGGTAAAAGATTTCTTAAGATAGCGTATCAAGTTTTTCCTGCTGACCTCCTTGCCCACCCCTGGTCTACTCCCCAGCTGTTTGAAGGATAGATAGCACAAGTCTCAAACCTTTAATTTATTCTCTACTTAATGTCCCTGTCCCCCAGCCTTCCTGCCACCTGTCCCTTCTCAGAGCCTCCTAGACACAGGCCCTCTGGACCGAGCTGCTCAGGGACACCCATGCCACCCCTCACCTCTTCTTGGCATCGGTCTTTAGTCCTACCCTGGGCACTGGAGCCTGGGTGTCTGGAGACATCTTGCCTCCTATGACTCTTTCCCATGGGCTTGATTTCACCCTAAGTTGTTAGACAAAAGTCTGTGCTGTCTCAAGAGCCAAGCTGTTCAGCACTAATGCATTTTGCACTGTGCAATTTTGCACACCCCCACAGCTGGGCCTGGCTTATGCCCTCAGAACCTAGAGTGCAGAAGCGTTCCCAGGATGAGGCACCAGAAAAAAAGACACCCTGAGTTTACCTGGCCTGACAGCCTTCTCTAGGGAAGACCTGTGAACCTGAGCCCAAGGGCTGGTGTACACTTGTTTACTGTGTAAGCAAGAGTAGAGGAATGTCTAATGTACAGTGGAACCTTGTACAAAATAAATAGTAGATTTGAGAAAGAAGTTGGTGTGTGATGCAATCTCGATTTGGGAGGGGCTTGAACCCCCAAAGTCCTCCCACTGAGTGAGGGTCATATAGTTCACTGTTTCATCCAGTCTGTAAGTGCTAAGTTCTGGAAAGTCACCCTTCCCTTACTTAAGCTATGCCATTCTAGGTTTTATTCAGGTTGGAATAGTGTCATTTCACACACTATATTCATCTCCATTCTCAGATTGACCTTTCCTTGTATGTATGTGTATTTTATTCTTTTGGCCAAAACATTTAGCCATGCAGGATACCACATGTCTAAAGACTTTACCATCTGTCTACTAAGAACATTATCCTTTATGGCACTGTCTTAACACTTTGGAAGTTTAGCATATCTGGTAACTTTTTAAAAATTTTTTTACATGCCAGATGTGATGACGTGCCTTAAATCCTGGCACTCAGTAGGCAGAGGCAGGTGGATCTCTTTAGTTTGAGACCAGCCTGGTCTACATAGTGAGTTCTAAGCCAGCCATGGCTACATAGTAAGACCCTGTCTTTTTTAAAAAAATATTTTTTACATTTATTTTGCATGTGTGGGTACTTGCAGGAATCAGTGCTCCTTCCACCATGTAGGTCCCAGGGATCAATCTCAGGTCACTGAGCTTAAAATCAAGTACCTTTACCCACTAATCCATCTCACCAGTGCCCCACAACTCTTAAAAAAAAAAAAAAATACAGGGTCTCTATAGCCCAGGGTGGCCTTGAACTTACAACAATCCTCCTGCCCCAGCCTTCCAAGTGCTACAATTACAGGCTTGAGCCACCATACCAGGCTCACATTTCTGTAAATGAACTACTGATCTAGGGGCTGTTGGTGCTTTACTGAAACACCCACGCAGACCTATGATGAGCAAAAGCAGGCATCTCCTGAAGCATCTCTAGCAGATGCTGAATATGGTGCTGCTTGTCTTAGAGCAGAGGGTCGTGGCCTGGATAGAAGTGACTGGGGCTGGTCCTTGATAAAAGGAAAGCCTCCACTTCCCACTAGGTCTTAGAAATAGCTACCTCTAGGCGGGGCAGAGCATGCCTTTAATACCAGCACTCAGGAGGCAGAGGCAAATAGGATCTCTGTGACTTCAAGGCCAGCTGGGGCCGCAGGGAGACCCTATCTCAAAAAAAAAAAAAAAACAGAAGAAAAAAGAAATAGCTACCTCTGTGTTACAGGGTTGGTTCTGAGACTGGAGGGATGGCTCAACAGTTAAGAGCTTGTACTACTCTTACAGAAACCCTGAGTTTGGTTCCCAGAACCTATATCTGGCAGCTCACAACCATCTGTAACTCCAGCTCATGATAAGCAAGTGTTCTACCCCTGAGTTATAGTCCCACCTCTAGAAGACCTTTCATCAGGACATAAGAGCCAGGTGTGATGGCACACACCTATAATGCCAGCGCTTGAAGGAGTGGAGGTAGAGACAAAGGATTAGAAGTTCAAGGCCATTCCAGGGTACACAGCAAGTTGGAGGCCAGTCTTTGCTACATATGAGTCTCTTTCAAAATGAAAGGAATACTGCAGACTTAAATATTTAAAGAGATAAACTCTTTAAGACTCTCCTGAGAAGCCATTGTCTCTTGGGGGGAGGGGTTCTCTCTCAATTCTTGGTACTGTTCAGCTTTTCCGTTTCTTCAACTAATCTTTGAACTAACGAAGCTGAATGTCCTGCCCTACCCCCACCCCATCCCCTCACCCTAAGCTTAGAATGTCCCATTGGGATTCTTTCTAGCTACTGTCACTGCTCCTGACACTCAAAAAAAAATCAAGGCCTGTTTTTGCTGAGATACAAGAACCTGCTGTCAACAGGGCCTGTGTGCTGCTGTGTGGCCCACATCATGAAGGAAGGCTGTGGCAAGGGCTTTTTATCTGGGCATTTCCCAAGAATGGAAAAGAAAGATTTAACTTTTGTTATTCTGAGACAGGGTCTCTTGTAGTCCAACTGGCTCTGCCTCTGGAATGACTGGGATTCCATTATAGGCCTTTGTGTCTCTGCCATCCCATTTTAGGTGGTGCTGGGGATCAAACCCAGGGCCTCTGGTACACTAGGCCCATGCTCTACCTACTGAGCCACATCTACAACATGAGAAGAAAGATTTAAAGCAGCAACACAAACCCTGTGACTTCTCTTGGACTTCCCTACCCACCCAGGATAAGATATTTAAAAGGTGATGGCTTCTCCCAACCACAGGTAAACAAGATCCTCTTTGAGAGAGAAACAGGCCTGTAGCCAGGAAGATGGTGACTAGTTTGTCATTGGAAGTAGAAGCCACTGGTCTGTTTTGGTAGTTTTCCCCTGGGGAACAGAGAATACTGAAGCAAGGACTCAACTAAAACCCTCAGCCCTGGCTCCCAGCAATCCTTTCACTACTTACCCTGTGGTGCTTTCTCATCCCCATGGCAACAGTCCCTAGTCCTGTGCAAACCCCAAACACAAGCAGGTCTGTCCCCACATTTCTTTGTTTCCACCTCCTAGCAACTTGGGTTTCTTCCCCCACGCTGCTGTGCCTGCCAGCCTTGCCTGAGGGAAGGTGCGCCCTCTATGCTTGCTCTTGTGACCTTGAACAGGAACCTCGCTTTTTGTGCGCCTTAGTGCTTCACCTGTGAATTGAAGGTCTCTGCTTGGGTGTTTTCACTCTAAAGTCACTTTTTCTCCAAATACACGTTCAAGTTGGAATTTACATACCGGTGGTTCCCTGGCCTCAATTTAGAGAATTCATTTTTTTACATTTATTATTTATTTTAGGGGGGGTAGCATGTGCATATCATGGCTTGTTTGTAGAACTTTTGAGAGTTGTTTCTCTTCCTCTACCATGTGGATTCCAGGGATTGAACTCAAGTTTTCAGGCTTAGCAACAAGTGCCCTTACTCTCTAAGTCTCTCACCAGTCTTAGAATTCATTTTTGATTGATCAGTGCTCAGAAAAATTCATATTTTATAAAGCTTCACAAGTGGGACCATAGCGGTCACCTTGCCCATGCTGTCATTTTGGCAGTGAGGGTGCAGAGGACTCAGACCTACCCAAGGCCATACCACCTGGCTGTGGCAGAGGCAGAATGGAATTCACCCGGTTCTCTCTCGTTTGAGCTCTCCACTTTTGGTTGAATTGGTGACTGCATTTGGCAAGACTCTGCAGAATTTTCCTACTCTGCACCTATTAGGAAGTGAGCTGAATACCCAGCCTGAAACAGTCACACATGTCCAGCAGCAAAACCAGCATGATCCGGTGGGGCCCTGCTAGTTCTCTCTGAACTGGACACTGCTGAGGGTCCCCTGGCCTTGGTCTTTCGTGATATTAGCAAGCACTTGTGTGGGATACCAAGGGCAGAAGGAAGTGGCAAGCAATCATAGTTCAATATTACTCATCTCTCTGGCCCCAGTACCTCATCAGTAATCTGAGCATGACAATACCAACTCAGAGTTGTGAGTCCATTTAGAAACTGGGACTGGAGAGATAACTCAGTGGTTAAGAGCACTGGCTGCTCTTGCAGAGAACCCAGGTTTGTTTCTCAGTACCCACATGGCAGCTAACAGACATCCTTAACTCCAGTTCCAGGGAATCCATTGCCCTCTTCTGGCCTCCACGGGCATTGCATGCACATGGTACACTTACATACATGCAGGCAAAACACTCATATACATAAAATACAAAATGAAAAAATTTGCCAGGAGTGGTGGTAGACACCTTTAAATCCCAGCACTTGGGAGGCAGAAGCAGGTGGATCTCTATGAGTTTAAGCCTAACCTGGTCTGCATAGTGAGTTTCAAGCCAGCTGGGGCTACAAGGAGACCCTGTCTCAAAAAGACCAAAAATTTTTAAAAAAAAAAAAAAGAAAAAAAAATCTGCTTTGATTCTTCTGTCTCCATTGAACCCTTCCCTTGACCCTTCTCTGGAGGCACTCTAACCCCTCTGCTCTCCTGACATGGCTCAGCCCCCTCAGAAAGTGAAAGTTGTATGCCACAGAAGCGCGTGCTTAGGATTTACTCAGTTTTAGGTTCAACTCCCTTTCTCCTAAAGGCTTGGGGACCCAAATGTGGGAAGCCATCTCCTCAGGCCATTACTTTCCTGTAATGGCTTCTAGTCCTAGTCACATACCTATAATCCCAGCACTTAGAAGGCTAAGGCAAGAGAACTGCTGCAAATCTGAGGCTAGCCTCAACACAGACCGATCCTGTCTCAAAACAAAACAACAACAAATAGAGCTGGGGCTGCAGCTTAGTTAGTATAGCACTTGCCTGGCATGCATGAAGCCTGGATTTAGTCTCCAGCACCATGCAGTAGTGCACACATGTAATTGCAGCAGTTGGGATGTGGAGACAAGAGGATCAAGGTCCTGTTGGGGAGATGGCTCAGCAGGTAAAGCACTTGCCATTGGGATCTCCAGCACCCATATACAAGCTCCAAATGCCAGTTGGGCATGGCAGCCCTCCTGTGTTCCCAGCACTCAGGAAGCAGAGACAGGAGATCCCTGGAGCAGGATGGTCAGCTAGACTAGCACAATCGAGGAGCTCTGGGTTCAAGTGAGAGACCCTGCCTCTATAGTCAAGGTAGAGAGAGACCAAAGAAGACACCTGGTGTCAACTTCTAGCCTCTAGTTGCACTTGCACATGCACACCCATGCATGCACACCCCCACACACATTTGTGCACATACATATGCATACACAAATATACCATACATAAATACACATACAAAAAAAACAGTCCAAGGTCATGTTTGAAGACAGCCTGGGTAACATGAGCCTTCTCTCAAAAAACAAAAAAGGGGAGAGGGGCTGGAGCAATGTTTTAGCAGTTAAAAGCACTTCTTGTTCTTCCAGATGACATGGGTTAGGTTCCCAGCACCCACATGGCAGCTCACAGCTGTCCTCTTCTGGCCTCTGTGGGCATTGCACACTCATGGTACACTTATATATACGGAGGCAAAACTCTCATACACATAAAATAAAAATATTTTTTTAAACTGTTTAAAAGGAGGGTTGCTTTCCAAAGACTCTGGCTTAGCTAATGACTGTCACTCAGATGGGAAGAAGTGGTGGATAACTGGCTTTGTTCAGGGCCTTTAGGAAGCATAGACCTTAAACAGCCAGCCTCTACCCCAGCTTCCCTCTCTCTCAGACCACCTGGGGCCCCAACGCCTGCACTACAGTCATACTCTCCACCCTCAGAACTCTTCAGGAGCTCCCTCAATACCTTGGGTAAGAAGGAAAGGCATGGTGTGCTCTGCATCCCCACGGAACACTCGCTTCCTTTGCAGGTACTCACAGCCACTGCCTGTGCCTTTAAGAACTGCCTCTTGGTGCCAGGGTCTTGACCTCAGCATCCTCAGCTGAGTTGGATTAAGGACCATTCTGTGCCTTTGTGAATTCCTTCTCGAATCAGTTCCCTCCCCCACATGGAGACAGAATAGCCTGGAGACCCAGCCGGTCTGCCAAAGGCAGTCAGAGAACTGGTCTAGCCTGGCAGCCTTGTTCCTCAGAAAGTAAAGGCCTGCTCACTTGATAGAGAGCTATGGTCAGGGAGTGAGCCCTCAGGAGCCTTGGACTGTCACAGGGACTCCAGAAAGCCATGCAGAACCTTGGGCCATGAAAGACTACTCAGATGTCATCCTCTGCCCAGAGGCAACTGAGATGAGCAATGTAAGGCCCACATGGAACCCCCCCGACCCCATGTCCTCATGTCCTTGCCTGCCTCAGCCCACAAGCCTTTGCCTTCCAGATGGAGTTCTGCAATCCAGCTTTTGAGGCCGAAGTAGGGTCTTCTTGCCCTCTACCGGCCTTGCAGCAAGATACCACCAACAGCCTCCACGTTTCCCAGCACGGTAACTGTTTCAGGGGTGGCCTGTGGGTAGGACACAGTACAGGAGCTGAGGACAGTAGGACATGAAAGATGTCCACGGGAGGGGTGCCTCTCAGAAGCCTACTGTGCACATCCTGCAGGCCGGCGTCCCCGAGGGCTGCAACCAGACTGCCACTTTTCCTGGCTCTTCATCCTTCTGCTCAGTGGCCTGCTGCTCCTGCTGCTGGGGCTACTGGTACCTGTCATCCTACCCCGTAAGTACTCTGTGTGCTTGGGAGGAGTTTACATGGAGAAGTCCATGAGCTGCTCTACTAGCCCCAAAGACCAACTCCTATAAATGCTTCTCCTCCATCCTCCTACCCCCAGAGTTGCAGGCTACATCGCTCCCCAGGGCCACCGAGAGCCCACTGCCTACCCAAGGCTTGCCCATCATGGGTACTACCCCTACCGCCAACCCTACCACCACCACCACCTACCCAGCAACCACAGGGCAGCAGGAAGCAGGTATGAGCCCCACACACCAAACCAGTGAGTACTGAGGGAAGCTTTTCTGAAGGCGGCCCCAAGATGACAGGAGGGAGGTGAGGCCTGGAAGAGGCACCTTGGTGGAGCGGGAAGGCCTCTCTCCTGTTGACCTCTGAACTCTAACTTCCATCTCTGCAGCCTGTGGGGGCCTCCTTCCTGGTCCAAGAGGATTTTTCAGCAGCCCCAACTACCCAGACCCTTACCCACCCAACAGCCACTGCATCTGGAATATCCAGGTGGCCACAGACCAGGCAATACAGCTCAAGATCAAAGCCCTCAACATACAGGGTGTGTTCTCCTGCTCTTTTGATCGCTTGGAAATCACCACTGAGTCAGCAGGCCATCTTCTCAGGTGGGTCTCTCTACACTCAGAGGATCTCACCTGTCTGAAGTGTAGAGAAACAGGAAGCTGAAGCAGAAAGGCTGGACTAGAAGGAAATCAACAAACCTGACCTCTGCTCCTTCCCCTGCCACTGCCTTGCTACGAGGCCTAGGGAAGTTCGCTTCCCTTCTCTGACCTGTTTCTGACCTGAACTCAGAGCCTCCATCACCCTCAACCTGGCTTCTTGCAGGATATGTGGGAAAGTGCCTCCCGCCACGTTCAACATCAACGCCAGCCACATTCGTGTGGCTTTCATCTCTGACAGCGGTATAGAAGGGTCTGGTTTCCAGGCCTGGTACCAGGCTGTGGTACCTGGGCATTGTGAGTGGCTTCCCACCATGTTCACACCTGCCTCCCTTCCACCTACTCCCAGTACTGGCAAAAAGGGAGGGGACTCTGTAGGATTCTGACACGCCTCCCCCCACCAGTGGTACATGCCCCTCTCTAGGGAGTTGTGCCCATAATGAGTTCCACTGTGGCCAGCTCTGCCTGCAACCTGACTCTGTGTGCGACGGTTTGGTCAACTGTGCTGATGGCAGTGATGAGACCAACTGCAGCTCCAAGATCTCTGGTAAGGGTGCTGCCAGGCAAAGAGCAAGCACAGTCTTCAGGCTTCTAACCCAGGTTCAGACAGGGCTCCACGGCTCTGACCCAGACCTGAACTTCAGTGCTCTCACCAGCACCCCTTGTCCAGTCATTCTTCTGGTCCAGAATTCTCTTGCCTGGCCACTCATGGGCCATTTGATCTTTCTGCAGAGTGTGGAGGGAATCTGATTGGGCTCCAGGGTGTGTTCTCCTCTCCTAACTACCCAAAGCAGTATCCTCAACAACAGGTAAGTACAGTGCGTGTGGGGACTGGTATAGCACACAGAGAACACCAGAGTGCCTAGGTTGGTATGACTGGGAACAGGTATTGTCTTGTACTTGGGAAGGTCAGATCAAGCAGACCAGAAGGAGGCATTTTTAAGTACTAACTGCATACCCAGATATTACCATGCTGGGTAAACTCACCAATCTCTGAGACCGGACATCTTTAAAGGGTATTTATTTATTATTTACAGACAAGGTCTCACACTGTAGCCCATGCTGATCTGTATCTCATGGGAATCCTGCCCCAGCCTCCTGAATGCTGAGAGTATAGGTGTGAGCTACCGTGCCAAGCCTTATTGTTTCTCCCATACTGGAGCTCAACCCTGGGGCTTTGCACATGCTAGGCAAGTGTTTTATCACTTCACTACACCCCCAGCTTTTGTTTCCTTGAGACAGAGTCTCCCAATATAGCTCAGACTACCTTGGAACTTAGTATCTAGTCCAGGTTGACCTTGACCTCTATATCTCCGGCCTCTTCCTCTCAAGTGCCGGAATTACAGGTGTGAGCCCAGAGTGGCCCTTCCTATTTGATGGAAGTAAGGTGGGCAACCACCACACATCCCCTGCCTAGGTTGCTCTGGGTAACAAACCCCCTTGAATGTCCAGGTCCCTGTGAGTTATCCCATCTGTGTCCTCCCCTAGTTTTGTGCCTGGCACATCTCAGTGCCTGTGGGACATGGTGTAGAACTACAGTTCCACAACTTCAGCCTGGAGGCACAGGAGGAGTGCAAGTATGACTACATGGAAGTCTATGAGACCAGCAACTCAGGGACCTTCAGCCTCCTGGGCAGGTACCAACCAGGACAAGAGCAGTAGGCAACCGGTCCCCTACAGCCTGACAGACCAGGCTCATGTGGGCCCGAGTCCCCAGCTTCACTGTCTTGTGCTGCTTCAAGCCAGAGCTCAATTTACTAGCACCCTGAAACAACATGTGCTTTCTTATCTCCAAGCCTTCACTTCCACGATCCCCTGCCACACTCTTCCAACCTGCAGCGCCTTTCCTTCCACTCCCTCCCTGACTCTTCCCATCTCTAAGGGGTCAAGTTCAAGAAGTCATTTAATACTTTTGTAACCAAATAGTATGTCAGCAAGCTTGTTACCTATAACCCCCAGAAGGCCGAAGCCCAGCTCAGAGCCCCAAGGCCTGGACAGTGGCCTGTCCCCAGGACACTTCTCTGTTCTTGGCAGGTTCTGTGGGACAAAGCCACTGCTCCACCTTGTCTCCTCACAGCACCAGGTGACTGTGCTTTTTAGAACAGATGACGGTGTCAGCAACAGTGGCTTCTCAGCCACCTACCGGGCCTTCAATGCCACAGAGAGTAGGTTCCTCTGGGAAGGTGGATATGGGCAACAGAGGTTCTTCCAAGGAACATCAAAGAGCACCTGGAGGGCAGTAGGTACAGGCATGTCCTAGGGCACTGTCATGCCCCTGTGCCCACAGACCCTTGTAGGCCCAGAGAGCTCTGCCAGAACGGAGGCTGTAGGGATCTGCAATGGATGTGTGACTTGTGGAGAAACTGCAAAGATAACAGCAATGACAACTGTAGCAGTCCCTTGATCCAACCCCCAGGTGAGGAGCCTGCCCCTGGCATCCTGAACAGGGCCTGCAGACCAGAACAGCCTGTGTGCCCCACTCAGAGAAACCCTCCCACACTCTTCTCCACATCCCTTTCTTCCCTCTTTGATGGTCTGGGCCTCGCTTTCCTGACCCTTTCACAGTCTTGAAAGGACTCTCAGTTGGTGGGGGCATGGCATTTGCTGTCACCTCATAGGGACATGGGAAGCTGGATGTGGTAGCACATACCTTTAATCCCAGCACTCAAGAGGCAAAGGCAGTTGGATCTCTGTGAAATTGAGCCCAGCTTGGTCTATATAGCAAGTTCCAAGCCAGCTGGGGCTACAGAAAGATCCTGTCTCAAAAAAAACCAAAACCAAAACCAAAAAAAAAAAAAAGACATAGGAATGTAGGAGTCAAGAATCAACTACCTCCATCACATACAGAGTCCCTCTCCAGAGTCTACTTCAAAGATAGTTAGATTTGCCAGGCATGGGAGCACAGGGGTAGCACTTGGGATGCAGAGGCAGGCAGATCTCTGAGTTTCAGGCCAGCCAAGGCTATATAATGAGACTGTCTCAAACAAACAGGACGATGAGATTTTGCATATAAAAGAGTATTCTTGGTACCCAAGAGGTCCCCAGTGTGGGTACCCCACATTCCCTGAGATCAGAATGGTCTGCATGATGCCCGGGGTCGGCAAATGCAGGCTCAGGCTCTGGAGGGACAGCAGGGTTCCTTGGAATGTGTGAAACAGCTGTGTTGCCTCCTGAGAGTTTCACAACTCTATATGACCCATGTGGAAACAAAGACCCAGGGCCATACAGCATCTTGTGACCCTCTCCTCCCCACTACAGTGCTGGCCTGTGAACCTATCCAGGTGGAGATGTGCCTTGGACTGAGCTACAATACCACAGCCTTCCCTAACATCTGGGTGGGCATGGCCACCCAGGCAGAGGTGGTAGATACCCTCAGAGGCTACAAGGTACTGGGTCTGAGACAAAGAGGGAGGCCATAGGAAGGGGTGGGAGCCTGGGAACTGGACACCTGAGGGCTATCTCTTCCCCACACAGAGTCTGACAAATCTGCCCTGCTACCAGAATTTCCAGAGGTTCCTTTGTGGTCTGCTAGTCCCTCGCTGCACTCTACTGGGCAACATCCTGCCTCCTTGTCGTTCTGTCTGCCAGGAGGCAGAACATCAGTGCCAGTCTGGCCTGGCACTACTGGGCACCCCCTGGCCCTTCAACTGCAACAGGCTACCTGAGGCAGTGGGCCTGGAAGCTTGTGCCCAGCCCTGACCTGAAGCCAGCCCCTACCCTCTGCCTGCCCTTCCTCTGCCTATATGGGTGGGTAGGGCAGGCAGAAAACAAAGAGAGGCATGACCTGGGCATGGGACTCTTCCATCCTCTCTGGGAGCCTCCCAGGGAGAGGAGAAGTCCTCAATCCAGGGCTGGTGGGACCCTCCCATCTTCCTTGCCCTGCCTCTTTCCTATCCTTTTACTTGCCAAGACAGCCCTAGGCAATGGGCAGGCTGTCTACTATGCCACTGGACAGTCTAGCAGGTTTCCCATCCAAGTCCCTAAGTCCCTGACCCTGATTTCCTGTCTCCTACCTAACCCCCTTTCCATTTGCCTAACTTCACTGTCACCTGACCTTCAGCTTTTTTTTTTTTTTAAGTCAACAAAACTGTACTGAATGCCTGATGGGGCAGATCCTATTCTAAGCTTGAGGGTCCACTGTGTCTCTGACTCTGGAACTCACCCTGGACTCTCTGCTGATCCAGCTCTCCCCACCTCCCACCCCCTACTAGTCTTGACCTTGGTTTCTGTTACTGTCCCATCCCTTCCTCCAGTCCTGTCTGTCTCATAGTTCAGCCTCTCAACGACGCAGGCTCAAGTCCCCCCCCCCCCCCAAATTTTGGCAGTCCGCCGGGCGACACCACGAGTTATTTCCCTGCTATTTCCCAGCCCCGGAGCTCTTGGCCCCTGAACAACTAGTTTCCTCCAGGAGTCTGGGAGGAGCAGAGTGGAGCCAGCAGGGAGTAACCAGAAGCTGGAGACAGCGAGGGCAGGGGGCGCCTGGCTGGGGTAAAGGGGCAGGGGCAAGGCCAGCTGGAGGGTCTAAGAGTGAGAGAGCAAGCTGTTGGGGGAGCTGGGGAGCCTGGAAGGAGTGAGTCTGGCAGAAGAGGACAGTGGGGGTGGGGACTGTGGGAAAGCCTGGGCGCCAGCTGGGGGAGGGGGCAGGAACGCGGGAAGAAGGAAGAAGGGCTAGTCTCTCCTTTCCTATGCTCTCTGGGTTCTCAGCCTAGGACACCCCCCTCTTCATCCCCTTACACAGTGCTCAGCCAGGGGCATGACGGTGGGGTGAGGACCTGCTGGGCGCCATCTGGGTTGGGAGCTAGGTGGGCCCAGGATTCTGGGTTCCGACTCCAGTCCTGCCCAGCCCACAGACCACAAGAGGATCCCGGTGTTTGGGCTCCTGGTGTCAGCAGCATCATGAAGCCGCTTCTGGCCCTGCTGCTCCTAGGGCTGGCGTCGGGCTCACCCCCGATGGATGACAACAAGATCCCCAGCCTTTGTCCAGGGCAACCCGGCCTTCCAGGCACACCAGGCCACCATGGCAGCCAGGGCCTGCCTGGTCGCGATGGCCGTGATGGCCGAGACGGCATGCCGGGAGCTCCGGGCGAAAAAGGCGAGGGCGGGAGGCCGGGTAAGAAGTAACTTTGGTTGCTGTCCACCGGGACATCCTAGTGCGCACCACCGGGCCTCAATGGTGCCTGCCGGTCCAGGGAGGTTCGAGGCCCCCGCCAGGGGGCACTGCTTCCCTCCATGCCAGTGGGCTCGGGTGGGGTGGGTGCGGGTGGACCGGGTGAGTCAGCCCGCAGGAGCCAGAACTCCTAGGTCCCTCTGCCCAGCCCTTCAGAGCTGCCCTATGCCCGGCAGGTGTGAGGGTCCTGGTCATTGCCTTTCAGCACTCTGCTGGGGGCTGACCCGGCTGCTACACTCCTAACCTTTCCTGTTCCCCCGCAGGACTAACAGGGCCACGTGGGGAGCCCGGGCAGCGTGGAGAGGCGGGACCCGTGGGGGCTACCGGACCTCCTGGGGAGTGCTCAGTGCCCCCACGCTCGGCCTTCAGTGCCAAGCGCTCTGAAAGCAGGGAGCCTCCCCCAGCCGATGCTCCCCTACCCTTTGACCGAGTGCTGTTGAATGAACAGGGACATTATGATGCTACCACCGGCAAGTTCACCTGCCGGGTGCCTGGCGTCTACTACTTCGCCGTCCACGCCACCGTCTACCGGGCCAGTCTGCAGTTCGACCTGGTCAAAAACGGCGAGTCTATCGCCTCTTTCTTCCAGTTTTTCGGGGGGTGGCCCAAGCCAGCCTCACTCTCAGGGGGTGCTATGGTGAGGCTGGAGCCCGAGGACCAGGTGTGGGTGCAGGTGGGCGTGGGTGATTACATTGGCATCTATGCCAGCATCAAGACAGACAGCACCTTCTCTGGATTTCTGGTCTATTCTGATTGGCACAGCTCCCCAGTCTTCGCATAGTACCCAGTGACCCAGGAGCTGGCATTTGCTCCTAGGAGGGTGTAACACTGACAGGCACATACTGGGAGGGCTGGCCCCCCTGGGATATTGTGAAAGACTAGTGGGGAAGCCACATCTGGTCCTACTACTGGCAAGGAATGGAGGCAGAGGCTGTCTGAGGTCAGGGTGGGCAGCATGGAGCAGTGCTTGAGTTTCTGCCCAAGACTGAAAATGTGCTGTGCTGTGCTGGCAAGTACAGGTCCCTGGTTGCACTCTAAGTGCAGGACTCCAAGTTTGGGTGCTCCCTTCCTGGTCCTGTGCCTCCTCTGGGTCCTCAACCTATTCTTCCTGCTCCCAGAGCCTGGCCTTTTCCTCAGAAGTTACTCAATAAATCTCAAAAACCTCCACTGGCCTCAGCCTTTCTTCTGTGATCTTTGGTAGGGGGCAGGTTCTTGGGAGTAGTCTGAGCCATGGGGCAGGATATACAGAAAGCAGTCCTAGGGGAATAAGAGGCTGCTCTGGGCTGGAGAGATGGCTCAGCGGTTAAGAACACTGGCTGTTCTTGCAGAAGACCTGGGTTTGAATCCCAGCACCCACATGGCAGCTAACGACTGTCTGTAACTCCAGTTCCAGGGGATTCAACAGCCTCTTCTGTCCTCCTCGGGCATTGCACGACATGGGTGCACTTACCTACATGCAGGCAATACAGGCATACACATAAAAACTAAAAATAATAAACAAAAGTCGCTGCTCCAAGGAGCTGCCACCTAGTTATGTAGGCAGGGAACAGGGGTGGCCTCCTGATGTGGGGCTCTGGCTACCCAGAAAAAGGAGCACCTTTTTTCTAAGTCAAAGATGCCAAGCCAGGTGGAAGCTGCTTTACTACACATACCACCATCTGGTCTAAAAAAGAACCAGCTTTGGCTGCTTGCTTCTTACCTGGAAGACTGGAGAGCTATTGCTCTCACCCCAGGTGAGTTAAGTGTAGCCAACCAACCAGAAATAAGTAGTGTCTGAGATGACCACAAGAGGGCGCCCCACTCTAGAACACAGCCACAACTTTGGGTAGTTTAAGGTCTGGACTTCTAGGGTGGTTAAGAAGGGTATGAAAAACAGTAAAGGAATTCCAGATGGAGGTGGAAGAAAAAGGGGTCCTTCCTTCTCAGCTCAGGAAGTTTATCTTTCCTAATAAAATGTTTATCCTCCACATTAAACGGAGACTGGAAGGAGCCAGGCCTCTCTTTGCTCAGTTCCCTCTCCAGGACTGGGGGAAGGAAAAGCCAAGTCCTGCCTCAGGCCTCCAATTTTGAGGTAGAGGTGGGGAACTGTTCCCACTATGCAGGGCACAGCTTGGGTGGGCCAAACCATTAACTGTGAAGCTGACCAGAGAGCCCCTTGGGGGCTCACCTCCTAAGAGAGCCCCCACCTCAATCTAATGACTAACACACCTGGGTTTGCCAATCCCAATCAGCTCAACCTCTTAATGCAGAGTGGAGGGGCCTCCTTCAGGACCCACCATCTCCTTCCTCTTCCAGCAGACAGTCCCAAGCATTATGCTTCTAGAGGAAACATACAATTATAGAGGCGTGCCCCTCCTCTTCCTGCTGGCCATGTGAGCACAGCTATATCAAAGGGCACCAGATTCCCCTGTGCCCCAGGGAAAGACAGGTCTTAGGCCCCCTCAGGCTCGACCAAGAATCCCGAAGCCATACTCCATCCAGCCCATCACAGTACCAGGCTCTGTGCCAAGAGACAAAGACAAACACCAGTTCCTTCAGGAGCCAGAGAGTAGCCAGGCTGCCAGAAAACAGGCTCCACTGTGCCCTGGGGAAAAGAGTGGCACTACTGGGAGCACAGGGGAGGCCAGAAGTTCATATTCCCCTTCATGACATCTTAAAGCTGGTGAAGAGAAAGCTTTTCCAGAGCCATATATGATAGAAGGGGCAAGCACAAAGCAGCATGCTCGGGGTGGGCTCTCCCCTGGGCACAGCCCTGCCACTCAATCTCCTCATCCCCACCCCCTCCCTTTGAGCTCAGTTCCCCAGAGACCACACTTCTCACCCCAGCCAGCCTGAAGACCTGGTGCAGCACCAATCACTCTAAGCACCTGCTGGCACTTACAGGGAGCACACACAGGCACTTTCAGAACTGTCAACAGAACTTTATTCATGGAAACTGGGCAGGCAGACCTAAGGGAGCTGCATGCCCTCCGAGCCCTCACCCCTTGTTTGGACCCTAGTGAAGTGTGCAGACTGCCACCCTAGTGCCAGGGGCAGACAAGGAGGAATGCCATGTTCTATCCCATGTGGGGCATGAGGGGGAATGAGTAGAAACTTGGTTGGATCTCTTGAGGCCCCCTGTGTACTTGGGGTGTCAGAAGGGTATATGGTCCCAAAGCCAGATGTAGATGCACCCCTGTACCCAGGGGCAAACTCCGAATCCCAGGTTTCAGATCAGGTTGGGAGTCTCAAAAGGTGACAGGCAGAAGTGGTTCTAAGAACACCTGAGGGATTCTACTCCAGACTTACCAGGCACAGGGCTTCTGGCTAAACATAAAGGTTCAAGATCATTCCGAAATAAGAAAAAAACCAAAGAATATAAAAATCAAGATCACTCCAAAGCCCCAGGAGTTGCCAAAATACTCAAATGACACTGATGTGTTGTGGCTGTACAAGATGGGGGAAGGACCAAAAAACCCCAACAGAAAAACAAGAAGCAGAGAAGGGTAGCCCCAAGGCTGGCATCTGGGTGGGCCCTAGGCACTGGGCAGGCTGGAGGACAGCCCACTGCAAATAGTCTCAGGAACCTTGCATAGTAACATACCACCCTCAGCATCAAAAGGCCCCATGGAGTTCAGAGACACCGTTACCCTGTCCCACCCAGACTGGAGTCTTCCAAAGCATTCCATCTCCACATCCTGGATGTATGGCTGGAGGCTTGGCAGAGCAGCCATCAGAGCTGACTCAGGCCCTTACCCGGAGGCGAGGTGTTGATGCTGTCCTAGTTCGTTGAGCATGGAGGGTTGACAGGCAAGGGGGTGGTCTTCAGAGGTAGACATTGAGGGTCTGCAGGATGCCGCGGCGGCAGAGCGGGCAATTGCGGTGGTAGACAGGGTGTTGCATGAGGATCTCGGTGCAGGCCTGGCACAGGCACAGGTGCCGGCAGGGCAGAAGCAGCACAGTCTTACTCTGGTCCTGGCAGATAACACATTTCTTCCGCTCCTCTTGCTCCTTTAGCAACTTCCATGGGTCTTGCCCAGCTGCAGGCTCATCCTCATTGAGTCTCTCTCTGCCCCGGGCAGGTGTAGCTCTGATGCTCCTGTCCACTTCCTCTTCTGCTTCAAGAGTGTCCTGTCCCCGGATCCTGGCTGATAAGATTCTCCTCCTAGGGCCACCGTGGGGAGCCCCAGGTGCCCCGCCCCGGTTTGGCCAGCTGGCCAGCTGTAGGCTGCGGCTCCAGACTCTACGCCAGGCCTCTAAACCCAGTGCAAGGCGAGACAGCCGCACAACGTCTTCTCTGAGCCGGTGGTAGGATGGGCGGGCTTGAAGCTGACTGAGTGCTCGGGAGGCCAGCCTCAAGGTGAGGTCCGGATGCAACACCGTCAAAGTCACTGCCAACACACAAGCCAGCAACACCAAACCAGTGAGATTGAAAAGCACAAAGCTGGCCAGAAGGCGGACAGCTGAGGCCAGAAGCTCCAGTGCTAGTTGGCAGGGGGTCCAAAGCAGAATTGCCATGGCCACAGCACTGCTGGAAATGTGGGCAAGGAAAGCAGCCACCACATCAGTCATCCTGCATAGAGGCCCGGTCACTGCATCCCACAGGGCCAGCACCAGAGAGAAGAGGTTCTGAGTGCCAATGAGGCAGATGTTGACCAGGCTGTTGATCACATAAGCCACCAGGCTCATGGCAATGGCACAGATATCACAGGCCTGGCGCAGCAAAGCATGGACATTGGAGACCATATTGAGGAGGCCCCTGTTCAGTATCTCCCGGCTCCGCAGCGCCCCATGGGAGGCTAGGTGTCCCAGGAGCTTTAGGCTCTCCAAGCCAGAACAGCAGCTGTAGAGTAGAGTACACAAGGCCTGCAATCCCCCAAAGGTAAACCGGACCAATGCTTCAATTAAGGCCAGCAATGAAAGCACGACGCCTCGACCCAAGTGCAGGAGACTAGTCAGTACCGTGTGTGGCAGGTTGTAGATGAAGGCCACGAGCCAGGCCAGGGTAGCCAGAAGGGAGGACACGAGCAGGAAGTTGAGATCCAACACCAAGGTCAGCAGGTCCAGCACAAGGCCCACCCCATTCACCACCAGGTACACAGCCTCCATGATAGGGCTATGGAGTTTAGGTCAAATGGAAGGCGGGCTCCCAGTGAGGAGAATGTCAACGTCGCCAATATTGTGGGGAATCGGGGATTAATTTGGAAGGGATATGAGTCTCTAACAAAGGGAGAACCAAGACCTAAGGAAGAAGTGGGTTGGAGGAAAGATTCGTGGTAAAGGGAAAGGAGTCCCGGGTTTGGAGGGAGGGCTATTTGGGATGGAAGAGGCCAAACATCTCTAAAGTGACATGGAGCCCTGACTGTTGGAAATACCTCGGCTTTAGAAGCCTGGTGCGGCGTACGACGGCAGGGCAACGGGTCAGACCGGGAGGAGACCGGGGAAGGATGGGAACGGGGTCGGGTAGGGCCGGACCGGGGCCGGGTGGGGGCGGCGCGGGCTGGGCGCGGGCTCGCGGTCCAGTCACGCAGGTGCCTCTGTCCCCGCCCGGCCCCTGTCCTCCCGCTTGCGGCGCCTGGCACCCGAACGGGGAGCCGGAGGGAGTCAGCCTCTGCAAAGCCCAAGAGCGGCCTCTCCTCCGCTGGGCGCCGCCATCTTCTGCGCGAAGGGGTGGGGCAGGAGGTGAAAGGAGGAGGGCGGGACGATATCCTCTAACCAATCGGCGAGAGGCAACCTCGAGACTCTCGACCGCCCATTGGTCTGTTCGAACGGCGCCCGAATCACGTAACTTTCTGTGAGAGGGGCGAAGATACAGCGAAATCCCCTCCCCTTTGAGCGGCGATTGGTCCGTTGACATGTCAGTTTATGCCCTCTGAGCCCCGCCCCCTTCAGTAGACCTGAAGCCTGTGCTTTTCCAGCTCTGGGCTGGGCTCTGCGATAGCTTTTCCTCCGCCCTTCCCTCTGAAGCCCGGTGCGTCGTCTTCTCATTCATCATTTTATTTTTTTATTTTTTAATATTTCATTTATTTTATTTTTTAATATATTTTATTTTTATTTTGTGTATGAGTGTATTGCCTGCTTGTATGTGAGTGCACCCATGTCCTGCAATGCCGGCGGAGGTTAGAAAAGGGCTTCGGATACCCCTGGAAACGGAGTTAAGGATGGATCGTAAGCTGCCATGTGGGTGCTGGGAATCGAACCCGGATCCTCGGCAAGAGCAGTCAGGGCTCTTAAACCGCTGAGCCAGCCATCTCTCCAGCCCCATCATCATTTTATTTTTATCATTTATTGAGCACCTATAATGCTTTGGAAGCATAAGATACCATCTGCACTCAAGTAGTTCACAAAGAGAAACAGATTGTTACAGGAGATTCCTAAACTGCACTACAAACTCCTCAGATTTTTGCAGCATCCTGAGGAGATGAAATTGTTGTCATTGAGTAAAGGGGCCACAGACTGGAAGGTGCTTGGCTTCCTACCATGGCCCTATTAACTTGGTTACTACAACACTCTAAAGTTAGCCATCTGCACCCGTTCACAAATTTATTGAGAGTCCTGGTGTTTTCTACCAACTCTGAAGACTCAGGTGGCTTATTTCCTGGTTAGCCTTATTTGACAACTTGACAAGGCCAGGGATCATCTGAGACGAGAAACCTTAGTTTAGGAATTTTCTCAGGTTGGTCTCTGGGCACATCTGTGGGGGATTGTCTTAATTATTTTTTGATGAGGCAGGGCCCAGCCTACTGTGGGTGGCACCATTCCTCAGGTTATGGCCCTAGGCTGTATAAGAAAGCTAGCCCAGCATGAATGGGTAAGTGAGCCAGTTAACAAGCCAAACCCTCAGTGCTTCCTGCTGTATTTCCTTGGTTATGAGTGAGTTTCCTGGTTGGAGGTAATACAAACAGTCCTGCCTTCAGGTTCCTGCCATGAGTTCCTTCCTGTCTTCCTTCAAAGGTGGACTGTAACCTGTACCTGTAAGATAGAAGATGAAATAGACCCCAGGTTTCCTCCCCAGGTTGCTTTTGTACAGAGTGTTTTATCACAACAAAGAAGCCCACTAGAACACTTATCCTTCCCCTGGTCACCTTTGCTTCAGTTTCCTACTTGTACTGAATTTGAGTTCTCCATTGCCACTCTAGTCTGAACTCCAGGAAGTGTCTGATAAAAAAAGTAGCCATATGACGATAGGGTTGATCAGGAGGAAGCACCAGGACACAGATAAAGCTCCATCAAAATAGGGTTTCTTAGCAAAGGAACCATGGGACAGATTCCCTTCTGGGCAGGGAAAATGTCTGCCTGGGTCTTGAGCTGGGGTCTTTTAAAAACGGAGGCTTCTGCCTCCTGCAGAAGGTAGGAAGTTGTATTTTTTTTTTAAGTTGGGTGGTGGAGGGGAGTGGGAGAGCGGGACTTTTAAAACCTGTCCTCTTTAGAGATCAAAGCCTGCTGTGTTGGCCAAACAGTGGAGAAAAGTCTGCTTCTCTTTACTTCAAAGACCAAGGTGCTTATCAGTTATGTTCCCTTTTCTCAGGAGCATGAGAAATCCTTGGGATCCTGTTGGTGAGGGGGCAGGGCTATCTGAACCTTAACAGTGTCTATCTTAGGCTGTTTATAAATGTAGACAAGATCACTGAGCTTTGGTCTCCTCTTATGACCTAGGAATATAGCTTTAATTACTTATGACTCTTCCTTGCCCTTGACCCGGAATAGTGTGTGTGTATGTGTGTGTGAGCGTCATGCACACAAAAGTGCTACAAACAGCAGATATTTGTTGGAAGCAACAAAGCTTATTTACATTGCAAACAACAGGGACTAGGTTGATAACATCTGTTTGTGGTTGTGTGTGCTATTCTAGGTCAGTAGGGGTCAGAAAGGGAACATTTATTGATAAGACATTCTTCAGCTTTTTCCTTCCCCATTTCATGCTGGATAGACTGCTTCAGTAGAAGAATGAGCCTTTCATCAGGAGCACAGTTTCAAGAGAAATCTGATTTATTATTGTTGTTTGTTTTTTGAGACAGGGTCTTACTACATAGACCTGGCTGGCCTAGAACTCAATATGTAGACCAGGCTGGCCTCAAACTCACAGAGATCTGCCTGTATGTGCCTCCTAAGTGCTAGGATTAAAGGCATATACTACCACAAGTGGCTAGAGAGAAATCTGAAGGAACAGATTCTCAGAATAGTTTGGGTTCCTCTTAGCGAAAATGGATGCTGATTCAGGTTTTTTTTTATGTAAGCATCACCATAATGTGGCATCACCCCACATCAATACAGATCTGAGGTCTGAGCCAATCTTATTAAGACACTGGCAACAGAAGGGGTTACACTATAGCTTAGAGCGGGGGATTTCAGCTGTCCCTTTAAACCCAGCACTCGAAACAAAGGCAAGTAGATCTCTGTGAGTTCCAGACAAGCATGGTCTACATAGTGAGCTCTAATCCAGCTGAGGCTACAGGGAAATTTTGTCTCAATAATAATTAATAATAATAATAATAATAATAATAAAATAAATAAAATAAAAGTTCCTAATTTCTTTCCAACTTTGGTTGGAAGAACAGTTCCAACAGAAATCAGAAGGGAACAATTCTGAGAACATATGGGACTCACTCCTGTTTTAAAAGACTTCAGGAATTAAGCTGTTGCTAAATGTAGTGAGACACACATTTAATCCCAGCACTCAGGAGTCAGAGACAGGTGAATCTCTGTGAAAGCAAGACCAGTGTGTTCTACATAGAGTTCCAGGGAGACCCTTTTGCAAACTCAACCCAACACAATGCAACCCAAAAAAGAAATAGGTTCAGGTACTGCTGCATGGTGACCTCCACCACACATGTGCACACAGACACACACAAACTCACACACACACGTCAATGCAATTTTTTTTAAATGCCAACTTTCCACACCCAGAAGCAGGGAAAAAAAGGCCTTCTCAGAGTTGGCTCGATCCTCTAAGACAATTCCTGTTTGTCTGAGAGCTGAGAACAAGACCTCTTCTTTGCCTGATCTGCAGCTTTCTAATCTAAAGCCACCTTTTTTTTTTTTTTTTTTTTTTTTTTTTGGTCTTTTTGAGACAGGGTCTCCCTGTAGCCCCAGCTATCTTGGAACTCACCATGTAGACCAGGCTGACTTTGAACTCACAGAGATCTGCCTGTCTCTGCCTCCTGAGTGCTGGGACTAAAGGCATGCGCCACCATGCCACCTTTAAAGAGCCACAGCCTTTGACCCATGAAACCTAGCTGTGGGCAATGACCAGGGCTTAGCTGACTTTGTGGAGGAAGTTCAAATTGCTAGTCAGTTTGAACCCTGAGGCCTGACAAATCAGACCTAAGAAAACTGGATGCTGGGGCTGGAGACATGGCTCAGAGGTTAAGAGCACTGACTGCTCTTGTAGAGGACCTGGGTTCGATTCCCAGCACCCACATGGTGGCTACGAACCGTCCTTAACTCCAGTTCCAGGGGAATCCAAAGCCCTTTTCTGACCACGGCATTGCACGACGCAGGTGCACTCACACACATGCAAGCAATACACTCATACACATAAAATAAAAATAATAAATAAAATATTTTTAAAAAAGAAAGAAAGAAAACTGGATGCTTAGAGAGGCTGTTTGCAGATTTGACAGGGGAAGATATGATGGGGTGAACTGAAGCCCTCCAGAGGCCTGCTCTAGCAGCCAGGGGTCTGTTCGAATGCGGGCTTTTCTTCTGCTGGGTGAAAGAGTCCAGCTGGATGAGGATAGGGATTTCTTATAGGTAATGGGTCAGGGTGGGGGTGAGGATTAGAGACTGAGTAAAACCAAGAGAGAATGTCTAATTCAAGAGTGCTGTTCTGTGTACTTTCCTCCATTCTTCTCAGCAAACAGTCAGTAAAATCTAGATTACTTGCCAAGGTTTTTAGAGTTGAGGAGTCTTTTAATTTTGATTGACTTTTAAAAAAATACTGTTGGTTTTTTAAAAAGAGTTTTTTTTATTTTTACATGTATGAGTGTTTTGCCTACATATATGTAAGTGTACCATGTGCATGTCTGGTGCCCAAGAAGACCAGAAAAAGCTGTCAGGTCACTGGAACTGGAGTTAAAAACAAGTGTTAGTCAGCACATGAGTGCTGGGAACTAAACCCAGATCCTCTGGAAGAGCAGTAAGTGCTCTTAACTGCTGAGCCATCTCTCCAGTCCTTCAATTTTATTTTAAATTATGTCAGTCAGAGCTGGGTATAGCTCAGCAGTAGATCCCTTGCCTTGGATAGACATGATCTAGATTTGATCCCTAGCCACAGGTGCTCATGCGCGTGCGCACACACACACGCACACACACACACGCACACACACACACAGGAATTCGTTTACAGAGTCTAAAAGTCAAGACTATGTTTAAAAGGTGCTGGAGATGTAGTGGCAGAACCACTGGCCTAGCATGTACAAGGCTCTGGATTCCATCCCCCCATTTCATATATGTCTGAAAATGTCAGAGGAGGCCAGGCCATTTTGTACAGCGCCTCCATTTTGGTTGAATTGTAACAACTCCAGTAACTAGAGTAATTTGATTTTTAGAAGTAAATTAACTAATTTTTCTAGATTTTTGACTGCCCTGTCTAATGGACTCCAAGTAATAACAGCCAGAAAATATGTTTATTGATTACCTAACATTCTTTGATTACTCACAGGCTACTTCTAG